CCTTGTGCACTCTTGGTGGGATTGTACATGAGTGCAGCCACTGTGGAAAACAGTGTGGAGGTTCCTCAAAACAATGAAAACAGAACTACAACATGACTCAGCAATGCCCCTTATGGGTATATAGCCAGAGAAAATGAAACCACTATCTTGAAGAGATACCTTCACCCCCATGTTTATTGCAGCATTACTCACAATACCCAAGGTATGGAAACAACCTAAGTGTCCATCAGTGGATGAATCAATACAGAAATGCTCTTTACTAAGTGAAATAAGCCAGTCACAGAAAAGCAAGTCCTGTTTGATTTCACTTACACATGGAATCTAAAAAGCCAATCATGGAAACAGAGAGTAGAATGGTGGTTGCCAGGGGCTGAGGGGTGGGGAAAACAGGGAGATATTAGTTAAAGGGTATAAATTTCCAGTTATAAAATAAGTAACTTCTAGGGAACTAATGTACAGTATGGTGACTACAGGTAACAATACTGTATTGTATAGGTGGACGTTGCCCAGAGAGAAGATCTGAAACGCTCTCACCACACACACACACGAAAAGGTAATTACGTGAGGTGATCGATGCGTTAACTAACCTTATTGTGGTCAACATTTCACAATGTACACATGTATCAAATCATCACAACGTACACCTTAAACGTACACAGTGCTACATGGCAATACTATCACAATAAAGCTGGGCAGAAAGATTGTTGATAGTTCTTAAAACTCAAAGCTCCGGGGCAAAACCTACCTCCAGGAGTCACTGTCAACTAGCAATCACGACTTACTGAAGTTTATGCTAATATCTGGCCCTTTCCCAACCAGAAGCTTCCAGAAGCAGGCATTTCTGATCCCAACTGTGTACTCAGTCTAATCACTAACATGGACGCTAACGTTATTTGAACTGGATCTAGGCCTTACATACTGAAGTTTCCTCTTGCCACAGAAAAGTGGGGGGGGGGGGGAGGCGGGGGGCGGGGGGTTGGGAGGGATTAGAAACCCCAGCATCAGAGTTTGTATCCCTGAGCTCTTCTATTGGGCATAGATTTTAGAAGAAAACCCAAGAGTGTGATACAGAGTGAGGTGGTCCTCAGATCTCAGTGAGTTCAGGAATTACCTGGGGAGGATGATAAAAATACAGGTGCTTTGCCCAGCAGGTGTTGCTCAGTGGTTGAGCATCGGACCATGAACCAGGAGGTCGGTGGTTCAATTCCCAGTCAGGGCACATGCCTGGGTTGGTGGCTCGATCCCCAGTGGGGGGCGTGCAGGAAGTAGACGATCAGTGATGTTCCTCTCTCATGGATGTTTCTATCTCTGTATCCCTCTCCCTCCCTCTCTCTAAAAAATCAATAAAAACATATTTTAAAAAATGTATACACACACACACACACACACACACACACACACACACACGCTTAGACTACCAATGACTCTGAACTCAACATGGGAATCTAAACCAGAAGTAAAGCATCAGGTGCCTGGATCACATTTTGAGACAAACTGCTGTAGAACATGACTAACCCGACACACATCTTTTTTTTTTCTTTTTAAAAATACAGTTTTATTGATTTCAGAGGGGAAGGGACAGGGAGAGACAGAAACATCAGTGCTGAGAGAGAATCACTGACCAGCTGTCTCCTACATGCCCCTCACTGGGATCGAGCCCGCAACCTGGGCATGTGCCCTGAACTCCTGGATCATTGGTCGACACTCTACCACGAGCCACGCTGGCGGAGCCAGCACACATCTTAGATCAGTGATGGCGAACCTTTTGAGCTCGGCATGCCAGCATTTTGAAAAACCCTAACTTAACTCTGGTGCCGTGTCACATATAGAAATTTTTTGATATTTGCAACCATAGTAAAACAAAGACTTATATTTTTTATATTTATTTTATATATTTAAGTGCCATTTAACAAAGAAAAATCAACCAAAAAAATGAGTTTGCGTGTCACCTCTGACACGCGTGTCATAGGTTCGCCATCACTGTCTTAGATGAACAAAGCATTGACTCTCAGAGTACTAGCTAGCAGGTCCTCACTGGAAGGGGAGAGAGGCACTGCGGTTTAATGTGGATTAACTTCCTATAGGGCTGGCTTGACTCAACTGCAAGTGGACATCCGAGCAACCAGATGTTTTCTCTGTGACAGATGGTACTTAACTAGGAGCTGGTTGATTTTTTCCTATTTTCATCCAGACATTCAGTTTCATGTGAAAGAGAAACTGTGTTCCCATGGGCAGACGAGAATTCCACACGCCTTCGCGGGACAGTCTTTGAGAGCTGAGCTAGAATCTACTTCAACCAGAGGGGACTCAGCTGTCAGGACTACAAAAAAAGCAAGACTGAACACTGGAAGCCAGATTAAGATTTGTTAAAATATATTTTTATTGATTTCAAAGAGGAAAGGGAGAGAGAGAGAGAGAGAGAAAAACATCAATGATGAGAGAGAATCATTGATTGGCTGCCTCCTGCACTCCCCCAACTGGAGATCGAGCCCGCAACCGGGCATGTGCCCTTGACTGGAATCGAACCCAGGACCCTTCAGTCTGCAGGCTAACGCTGTCTCCACTGAGCCAAACCAGGTAGGGCCAGATGTAAGATCTTAACAACCAATTTCTCCCTTCTGACCCCTGTCCACACTCACCCCACCACAGAAAACTTTCTTGCCGCAGAAAATTATGTTGAGGCCTAAGTAAACCTGCACCAGCCATGAATACGCTCGCTGCCTTAGAGACAATTCCATTTTGCTGGCACTGCAGAAAGCAGTGACTGGCAATATGTGGGCGAAACCGAGCTGTAAGAACGCTGCATCTTAAGCCAAGTTTTGCTCCATCCATCATTCAACCTGCAGAAGTCACAGCTGAAGCCGAGCACCAGCAGCTCACATGGGACCTGTCATCATGGTTGCTTGTTAAATAAGTGTGGGTAACTTTTGAGATGAAGATGCCTTTGAAAACACATTTGTCCTGGGTAGGCCCAGGCATCAGCCCATCACCACCACATTACACGTCCTTTACGTGTGTCTTTAGAATCAGGGTTTGTCAGAGTATTCCTCTCCACTTCCTCACGTTCTTCCTTTACATAAACACTAATGTCTAAATAGAACTCTAACAACAAATTGTATTTATTTTTAAACCTCTAATATGCAACTATGTCAATTAAATACACAGTAGTCCAACTCATAATAGTGAATTTTTCCCCCTCAAAGATATCTCATTCCAAAAGAGCCCACAGAAATAAAAATGAGATGGTTCTTTTGTTTTAAGTATATTTTTTCTCCTGGGACCCAGCTGAGGGGCATCTCGGGCCGAGGAGTTGCCCTCCTCCCTCCCAGACTGAAGGGGCCCTCAAGACTCTGGCACTGGGAGCTCTCTCTACATCTGTCATCAAGAGGCTTGCATTTGTTTATTTCCTTCCCTTCCCACATTCATTCGTTTGTCTGAGCTAAGCAGTCATCTTTCCTTTCAAGCACTCTGAAGAATGAGAATAGTACAAGAAGTGGTCAGTGTGGGCACTGAATATCATTGTTCGAAGACTCACTTTTAAAAATAGCTGAGCATGACCTAGCCAGTTTGATTCAGTGGATGGAGCGTTGGCCTGCAGACCAAAGGGTCCCAGGTTTGATTCTGGTCAAGGGCACATACCTTGGTTGCAGGCTCCTCCCCGGCCTGGGGCCCTGGTCGGGGCTTATGCACGAGGCAAGCCATCGATGTGTTTCTCTCACATCGACATGTCTGTCTTTCCCTCTCTCTTCTACTCTCCGTAAAAATCAATGGAAAAATATCCTCGGGTGAGGATTAACAACAACAAAAAACATACCCAAGCAAAAAGTCTGCCATATGCAGGCAGCACCCCAAATTGCTTTTAAAATAAAGCACGTGGGTGTGGGGGGGAAGCCCTGCTTTTCAATGTTGTGTGGTGGTCATCTTCCCCAAGTGACGACGAGGGAATTCACTTCTACATCCTGAACGCAACGCTACTGAACTAAACAGGAGCAACAGTTCTCGCGCAGGGAGTGTTTTCTCTGTGTGGGGCGTGCTGAGCACTCTACTTACTTCCCACGCTGTAGACTGTCTCGTTCTCACTTTGATTGTAACGGGAGTCTCCATGACCATCCCTGCTTATCTTGGACTCAGGGGCAGGTAACTTGGGCAATAACGTACAGGGAGCATTGTAACACAGAGCAGGCACTCAATAAGTATCTGTTGAAGAAATAAATGAATGGATAGAGGCACTGAATGAACGCTATTCTTGAACAATACATTCTCCGTCTTTCTGACTGCACCCCCAAAACTCTGTCACGGGTGTTTCTCAAGGAGCGTCTCACGTAACCGACACCTGGGGGTGGGACCCATGCACTAGAGTAAGTCGCTTTTACATCAAGTTCCTATTGTCAGAGGTCCTCCTTCCACAAGCAGAAATGACATGAACCAAAGTCATCTCCTTAGTTTATTTCTTCTAGAGCCCTTAGCATGCTACATTAACCCGACAAAGCTTAATCTCGTGTTCATTTCACAACACATTTCATGCAGTTCACAGCTGTGACGGGTTTTACATTGACATTACACGTGTTTCGATTCAGCCATGTGAAAGGAATAATTCTTAATGGGGTTTGTCTCTGAAAACTGTCCAAGCTTAAATAAGCATGTGGGCCGTTCTCGCTGTTCTTAAGCGCAGTCTCTCTTTAAAATGCAAGACGGATTTCCAGCGCAAGAACATAATGTCCCTGTTTGCAGTCCCTCTGCAATCGCACCACTTCCTTTGGGAGCCACATGTCCTGAGGAATCCCTCCACCAAACTGCATTCAAGTATACGGTTGTATGGAACACTCCGGGTGGAGTTTAGGAGCAAGGCTGACCTTCAGCGTCACATCCCCAAATAAATCTTCCGCGGTCCCAGCTTTCCCAAGACTATGCTTAGCATGAGACTCTCTTGTACAATAAGCATTTCAGCACTAAAGCCACAGAGCAGAGCTATTTGGCATTTCCCAGTGAAGTGCAAGAAATTAAATAAGTTATGTTTTTATTGCTAATAGAATCAAGCACAGTCACTTTGTCAAACAGAAGGAAAAGATATACACAGGATGTGGCTTCTCCTCAGACCCTCCTCCCTGCCCCCTCCCAGGGTTCAGATGCACAGAACGTGTCACCTGGTCCCTTCCCATCCGGTTCCACTTTAAGATGATGTGTTGAGTATTCTGGAGTCTGAGGAGTCGGACCGCTCGTCGTAGTCGTCCTCGGGGTAAATGGGCTGCTTGGACACCATGGGGCACCCCTCGTCGGGGATGGAGATCCGCGGGTCCTCGGGGGTGCGCGCGGGGAGGACAGGCGAGCTCCTGAAGACGCTGGCAGAGTTCCCCGGGAAAGGGCTGACGTACTGGGACCTCAGCTGGTACTGCTGCTGCAGCGTCATGGTGTTCCACAGGGTGACGTCGTTGGGCAGAAAGGGGCTCGACTGGTTTCTCGCCAGAGTATTCCTCAGCATGAGAGGGTAGCGGGGCGGCTGGGGGAAAGGGTGCTGCAGGGGCACGGCCAGGGGGTTGGGGACAACGTTACTAGAGTCCGCAGAAAACCTCAACGTGTCTGGGACTCGGAAGGCCGACCCCACGGACCATTTGGAGGAGGAGATGGGGTAGGAGCTCAAGGTGTGTTCGAAGATGTGCCCGTTGGAGGGCAGCACGAGGCTCTCGGGCTCGGCTGCAGTTCGCTCGGCGGCCGAGACCGAGGACCGGCTGGACAGCAGGACCTCCACGGCGCTCACCAGGTCCCCCCCACAGCCCTTCAGGATCAGCTCCAGCACCGTGGGCTTCTGGTTGGGGAATATTTTTTTTAACACTTCCAGGGGGGGTCTGTTGGCTTTCAAGCTGAAGGGCAGAGAGACGGTCCCCGAGGGGCCCTCGATCAGGAGGTGATTCTGCTCCCCGTGGTACTTGGGGCTGTCGGAGCGGCTGTCCGAGTTGCCCCCGTTTTTCTGGCCTGCATACCCACCTTCATCCACCGACACTATCTCGGGGCTCTCGGGGGTGAAGCAGCCTTTACTTTTTGCGACATCTGGGGAGCTCCTCTGGTCCGTGTCTTTGTCGCTGAAGGTCTCAGCGTTGTCGGCCAAGCTGCTGTCCCCAAGTCGCTCTTCAGTCAAATCTGAAAAACAGAGAACAGCTGGGTTAATCCTCTCCTGGTGGCATAAGAGGAACAGATGTGCTCGGGAGGGAGCCCGCACGGGCTTTCTGGAAGGGGAAACGTGTCCCAGTGGGTCACAGCATACCACAAGCCTTAAAAAAAAAGAAAGAAAAAGAAATCCAAACTATGTCATTGGCAAATGGCAAAAAAAGACCCCTGAATATGAACATCTAGAAACCAGAGTGATGTCTCGGAACGATGTGTTCAGGGAAGCTTGTCTCAAACACGAGGGCAGCGAGAGGCCAAGGCCCCCAGGAGGTGTGGCCGCCCAGCAGCACAGCCGGACCAGGGGCCTCCTGTGGGCTGGGGACCCACAGGCCCAGGGAAGGTAGGAACGGGAGCTCGGGTTTTCCTCCCGGCTCTTCTTCTGCAAATGAGGCAGCCGGTGGAATTTAAGGACATCTTCGGCCTGCGGGTACCCGTGTACTGCGGGCAAGTTTAATATGTCAGATCCATTTTCCCGTGTGTAGATTTCTCATTAAGTATGCCTTGTGAAGTGGGCACCAACATGTTTCCACAGGATACCGCATATAGAACGAGTTGATATGATGCCAGAGTGAAGGAAAGAGGCCTCTGTACATTGAAACCTTTATTTAAAAGCCACTGAGGTGTGGCTCAGTTGACTGAGTGTCGGTCCATGAACCGAGAGGTCACTGGTTCAATTCCTGGTCAAGGCACATGCCTGGGTTTTGCAGGCTCAGTGCCTAGTGGGGGGCATGCAGGAGGCAGCCCATCAATGTTTCTCTCTCATCGATGTTTCTATCTCTATCTCTATCCTTCTCCCTTCCTCTCTCTCTAAAATCAATAAAAACATTTTTTTTAAAAGCCACTTGAGGGGCTGGCAGACCTGTCAACAACTTGGATTAGAAAGCATGCCAAACCAGCTGTGCATTCTGGATGGTGGGGGACAGGTTGCAGGAGGGGAAGGAGGAAGTGACTTGACAGGGTTCATGGAACTATGCAAGGAGCATGACCCATCAGTGAGGCAAATGCACCCCTAACTCCAGGACTTGAGGTGCCAGTGGGAGATACATTTTCCATGAACTGTTTTGTTACTAAAGTGCATTGAAAGGACTTAAAGAAACCTTGAATTAAAAGAAGAGAGACGCCGAAACCGGTTTGGCTCAGTGGATAGAGCATCGGCCTGCGGACTGAAAGGTCCCGGGTTCGATTCCGGTCAAGGGCATGTACCTGGGTTGCGGACACATCCCCAGTGGGAGATGTGCAGGAGGCAGCTGATCGATGTTTCTCTCTCATCGATGTTTCTAGCTCTCTATCTCTCTCCCTTCCTCTCTGTAAAAAAAATCAATAAAATATAAAAAAATAAAAAATAAAAGAAGAGAGGGGGGAAAACAGCTTTCCAAATAAAGCAGAGATTTGCTGTGAAGTAAACCAGGTGCAAATTTAACATCCTGACCTATGACCTTACCCCCAGACGGGCTAGAATTACAGTGCTAACCAGGCAGAAAGGAGTAGCTACGACTGTTTACTCGAAGAAGTAAATGCTAACAGACCTTTGTAATAAAGAGACATATTCCTTATTAATAAGCTGTATGCAAGTGGAATTCTATCCTTCTTAAAACATGTACTGGCAGTGTCTTCTGAAAGCCAATGTAACTGATCTAAAGGTGAAAATTATTAAGGACCCACTTGTCAGGTTGTACACAAGTGGTTTGCCTGTTTTCTACTTCCTGGCGTGAATGGCCTCATTGTCCCCTTCCCTGTGGGCCAACCTGATCATGTGTAGATAGCCAGTTGGTGAAATTTCATCAAAGCAGCTTCTAAAATCCATCTCCTCCTATGTGTTGTTGTTTACTTTAAAAGCCTTAAACAAAGGCCCATTTATGAACATGCTTCTACTATGGGCTGTATCTTAAACATAACTGAAAAAATAAAACTTTGGTTCTCCACAAAGCAGTAACTATGTGCCAAGCAAAAATACTTAGAAGATATTCTTACATTATATCAGTGCAACTTTCAATCATAAATCTGATAGGAATTCATATTTATCCCAAATCTGCATTTTAAGTAAGCTGCTTTTTTTTTCCAATATAAGATTTCTCTAGGGCAGCCGTGGGCAAACTACGGCCCGTGGGTCGAATCCGGCCCGTTTGAAATGAATAAAACTAAAAAAAAAAAAAAAGACCGTACCCTTTTATGTAATGATGTTTACTTTGAATTTATATTAGTTCACACAAACACTCCATCCATGCTTTTGTTCCGGCCCTCCGGTCCAGTTTAAGAACCCATTGTGGCCCTCGAGTCAAAAAGTTTGCCCACCCCTGCTCTAGGGGGTTCATGTAGAGCCCAGAGATGGCTTACATCTCTGCTTTCTGCAACAACTCTGGGATGAACAGAAGACCTATCTTTGAAAGAGAAATCTGACATATTCTCTCCTCCAACTTCCTAGGACTGGAGACCCAGTTTCATCTCCTGAGTTAAGGTGGTACTTATACTTCATCCAGAAGAGAAAAACAGCACACACACACAAAAAGCATCTATAAATTCACACTCACACACTGTCACCAGTATGTTAACTCAGCACGGAACTGAATGCACAATTGGATTTTGGCCCCTGCTCCATGGAGCTTGGAAGAGCAAGTCAAATACTCTCCCTGAGCAGAAATGAACATCAAAGAACGTTTTCAATATTAGGTACCTCTAAACAGTTTTCTTATGTCTTTAACTTGAGCTTTCATTACCTGTTATTATCAGGTATCTGTATCCCTGTAACACACAAGATACTGGAGACACAGAATAGATGGCAGCAAATAACAGAAGTGTGAGACTTGCCCCTAACTTGTGGAACTTGTCATTAAGTTGGGGAGATAAGATGCATGTGCAGGGGGGAAAGCAAACACACCCAGGTAGGCTTGCTACGCATTAAATATAACACGCATGTACACAAATGTTCAAGCAGCAGCCACAATAGCCAAAAGGTGAATGCAACCCGTGTCCACAGATGGATAAGGAGATAAATGAAATGTGGTCTATACAGACAATGGAATATTATTCAGCCTCAAAAAGGAATGAAATTCTGGCACATGCTACAATGTGGATGAAAACATGCTAAATGAAATAAGCCAGTTACAGAAGGGCAAATATTCTACGGTTCTACTTATTTGAGATACCTGGAATAGGCATATTTATAGACAGAAAATAGAGTGGTGGTTACCAGAGGCGGGGGGAAGGGAATAGTGTCTTACTGTTTAATCAGTACCACGTTTATGGTTGGGATGATGAAAACGTTCAGGAAATGGATAGCGGTGACGGTTGCACAACACTGTGAATGTACTAACGCCACTACGTGATACCCCTAAAAATGGTTAAAATAGTAAATTTTGTTATGTGTTGGTTTGTTGGTTTGGCACACACACACACACACAAAAAGAAATATGACACGTGGTATCCAAGCGATATAGGGGATGGTAAGATTTTTTTAAGTAAGAGAAACAAGTGTTTCTTCTACAAAATAAAGGGTGTATAAGTTTAGCTGAAAAGCTCAAAACTTTACTATTTTTATAAAGAAATATGTGGACCTAAAATCAGCTTCCTATTCTGAAAGGTAGATTTTCCCTACCCTGGGTGAGTCTGAAACACAGACAACATTAAGAGAAAGGTTCTGAGGTCTGTCAACCACCTTCACTCTCCCACAGAATGCTTCACGCTCCAGGAAAAGGGGGTTCAAACAGGAACTAGAGAACGCTATTCTGGCGGATCTGACACATCCACCGTTATGAAAAGATAGTATTTTTTTCAGGTTGGCAAACGATACACCATCCCAATAACCTGGATATGGGATGGCAGGAGTATAGATCTATGACAGTATAAAATCCACTGTTGACAGTGGAATCTTATATGGGTGCCACCTTGTTCCCCAATTGGGCCCCCTGCCCAGACTTTCCCCGTGCTACCCTTTGCCCCTGCTGATGTGCCATGCCCAGGGCAGCACGCACTTCCGGTTAGTTCTCAAGGGATGGTGGTGGACTGTGCTGATTCATCCACTCTCAGGTTTCTGGGCTGATCAGCCTCTCCAACTGGGAGTCAAGGCTATGGCGACAAAGTGAGAAAAGCTAGTAAGACGTCACAGGAATCCAATGTACGAACTCAACACTCCAACCAACGGAGGTAAGCACTGTTGATACTGTGTTCAAAGGGAAGATAGAAGACATTGAAAGAAGCAACGAGTGGGACTCGCCTCCGGCGTTCATACACCTGAGCAGCACAGAAAGGCCTGCTATGGGGTGTCAGGTGAGCAGAATCCCAATCAACAGCCAAAGGCTATTGGGGTTTCCAAGTCGGGCAAGGGGCAAGGGAAGACTAGCCTCTCACCTTGCACCAAGAGCAAACCCCTCGCTCAACAATCATTTCTGAAAGAAGAATATACAGTCCCTGCAATTCTGTGGCATTGTGGTCTATTGGTTGTGTTGTGGTACCTAAACTAGATGTATTGTAGACTATTCTATTATAAACACAGAGTCTCACAAGTAATTATAGAGGGTGAGTTGTGAGCCCAGCGATAAAGCATAATGTAATAACAGGTGTTTCTTTACATCGCTAGATTTTTTTTTCCTAAATGAACTTTATAAACCGTGTTGGTTTAAAACACAAAGGCCTTTCTTGATATAGAAATGTGAGGCTGCCAACAAACAAAATGAAAAGGAAACTACCCCCAAAATGCTTTACCCTCTTTTTTCTTGGAAGTGACACCCTAATTCCTAGAGCACAAAGAGGAAGAGTATACTTCAACTGGTAATACTTTCACACCTGGAATATGGGTATGGGAAGCCAAAACTACTGGACAAAAACTGAAAAGAAATCAATTTCATCTGATATTACAAACTACCTATTGAAAGTGATAGTCTATTGTTTCTAATGCTTAAACATCTAGACATCTTTAAAACTTACTCAATGCTCACTCTTCAATTTCATACTTTTTATGATGTAGAAACACAGCCACC